CTCCGCTGCTTTTTCAAAGTTAGTGTTTGCAATGGTGGTGTCCCTTCTTTTATTCTTTAGCTGTCAAACATTCTATCATGTTTAAGGTCTGTCTCTTGAAGTAGCATATTCTATTGTTTTATTTGGTCTGACAGCCTTTGTATTGCAATTGAAATAGCTCTCTGTTTGCCTTTAATGAGATTACAGACTGAGGTTCAGCTAACATGTTTTTAAGTTGACATTTTAGTATGTGATTTCCACAGGAAGTTGGAAGGGGGAAAGAGAAGGATGAAATGATGTAGAGTGTACTCATATATGAAATTCTAAAAAAAAAAAGGTTCATGAATTTAAAAATGTGATGTCTACTTTTCTTACCTGTTCTTGTGAACTTTTCTTTCCTTTGTTACTTTAAATTAAGGATTTTTTTCTTTCTGAAATTCTTCCTTCCCCTCTATTGCTTTTCAGTTACATGTTCTTTTAAGTTTCTTTAAGGGTAACTTTAGAAACAGCACAACATTCATATTTTGACCCAGTAAAGGATAACATAAACTGGTACCTTTACCATTTGGGGGTAATGTAAGGGCCTTAGAATACTGGTATTCAATTTGTACTCCTTCCAGAGTTATATACTACTATTTTGAATAGCTTCAAGGGCACAGATAATAGTAAAACAGTACTGTGACTAGAAGGTGATTTTATATCTTGAATGTTTAATGGCTTTGTTTTAAAATATAATTTCTTTAAAATTATAAAGTTAATTTTTTTTCCAAAAAACCAAATGTAATTTTACTGCTCTCTGGGTGGAAATTCCAAATAATGCAATTAATGCTTCATAATTTGAAGAAGAAAAAGGAGATACATCAGAGTAGAGTGATGGCTCAGCACTTAAGAACACTGGCTACTCTTGCAGAGGACCAGGGTTCAGTTTTCAGCACCCACAGAGTGGCTTAGAATCACCTGTAGTTCTTGTTCCAGTGGATCTGATGCCCTCTTCTGGCATCCACAGACATTGCATGCACATGGTGCATATACATACATGCAGGCAACACTCATATATATAAAATAAAAATAAATAAACCTTCATGAAGGAACTGAGGAATCTATGGATGTGCAGCAATAATATGTATAGCACCTTTATGAAGGAAATGCTATGTGATGTGCTACTGTGTATTTCTTGCAAACAGTGCCAACTGTGGTCAAGCTACAGATTGAAATTGACCACAATGGACTATTCATGTCACTGGAGTATTGACTAGGCTTCAAAGCTTGATTTATAGTTTGTCATCAAGACTTAAGAAAGTGATGAAGAAGATTGAAGGTTAAAGTGAATAGTGTCTCCTATCTGTGCATTCCATTTTGAATGGTGCAAAAATGGCATGAAATAGTCTTCTGATATTAAAAAAGGGATCAGACCTAGCAAACCACTTTTTCAACATTGTATCAGTGATATGTTATTTTAGTCTCAACATGAAAGAAATTATCAGCAAGCATCCATGGTAAAACTGCACTTGGACATTGATTTCAACCATAGGTTCTCTGTAAACAGAATGTGGCAAAGGATAAAGATAGTACATGTTTTATTATTCATAAATTGTGTCCTACACATTGGTTATAACAATAAGATTTACAGTCATCCTAGGCACGTAGTGATAGGGATGCCTGTTTCCTGTTCTGAAGAGCTGAGTTGGCTGTTTAACATTATCTGTATTCGGCCATGCTCAGTCTTCTAAGACATTTTGTTATTTTATTTATGGACTTTCTTAAGAATTTAAGTTGAACTTCAACAATTGTCCTTGATTTAAATAGAACAGCAGCTTCTTTATAAATTTCTTTACTAATGTTTCCCTGGAGCTTGAACTCGTCCTCTTGTTACCGCTGTAAAAGCTACAAGGTCTCTATCTTTTCACAAAATTTTTACCTTTTTAAGCGTTTCTCTGTTTATCTTTTTGCTATAAAACAGATATGGATCTCTTCCTTTTAAAGTTTTTCTTAGTAATGTGACAGCCCCTTTAGAGCTGTTCCTTCTTAGGGTCCTTCTGGTTGATTCTGGATGCAAGAATGTTTTGCACTGTCCATCTGAGGGACCTTTGCTCCGCCTAATGACCCTGCTGAAACTGAGAAGCACATCTGAAGACAGTTGGTACCCTCTAGTGTGTCATTGTTTTCCTTCTTACCCAGTATTCATAACTCAGGATATCTTTGAAAATATTTAATTTTTTAAATTTATTTATGTCTATTTTATATGTTCAAGGTATTTTTCCTGCATGTATGTAAGTGCACCATGTGTGTGATATGCTCATGAAGGCCAGAAGAGGGATTGGAGCCCCTGGAATTGGAGTTGTGGACACTTGTTAGGTGCCATGTGAGTGCTGGGAATTGAACCTGGGGCCTCTGCAAGAGGAGCCAGTGCTCTTAAATGTCAAGTCATCTTTCTAACCCCTATTTTAAAATTTAAATCAGGGCTTTTTTCCCTTTCCAGTCCTAAGAATATTCTATATTATATAATAGTACTCATTTAATGAGTGCTTAATGGTAGGTCATGATTGTACTTAGTATTATTTCCTGATATCGCTCTTCTTTTTAGTCTCTATTACTCTAATAGCTATCTGAGATAGTAAACAGAAAAGATTTATTTTGCCTCACAGTTTGGGATCAATCCATGACTGACTGGCCCCTTGTCTCTTGGGCCTGTAGTGAGGCAGCACATCATGGCAGGGGTACATGGCAGAGCAACCTGACCTTATTCACGGCCAGGAAGCCAAAAAGAACAAGAAGGCCAGGGTCCCATGATTTCGTTCAGTGCCATGACCTCAGTGACTTCAAGAGCTTTGTTCTGCTAGTTTCCTCTTGTGAAGGTCCTGCCCTCTCCTGAGAGGAGAGGCTTTCAGTGTCGAAACAGTAGAAACACCACTGTGTTCACTGGGCAATGGAACCAAAAAGGAACAGGAAAACTTGCTCAAGATCTCAAGTGGACAAACCTTGAACCCAAGCTCACCTACTGTCTCTTGTAAAAATATTTACGGACAAGTATGCCAGTCACCACTCATCAAAGAAGCTCTTTTACAACAGTTGGAGACTATTACAGAGACCCACAACCAGTCACACAGACATTGCCTGTGAATTGCCCAAGCCTAAGTGACACATCTATAATGCAACCTCTCCCACGAAGATTCATAGAACATAGAACCAAGGGCAAAGAGGTACGAATGCATCTCTCAATTCTCATTAATAAAGGTCCCTCATGCAACAGAGGGCCAGGAACACAAAAGGTCACAAGTGGCCAAAGTGTAGAGAGTAAGAGTCTGCAGAGTGTGGGTCCTTGGATAGGACTCCTATATTAAACTCCACCCACCCAGGGCTCAGGGACCATTTTGGAAGAGGGGGCGGGAAGATTGTAAGAGCCAGGGACCATGTGGAAATAGAGTGCTACAAGCCCCTGGGATCTTGCTCATATGAACCTACAGCAATGGTGTCAGCATGCACAGGACCATGTAAACTCAAACAGACAAAACCCCAGCACATAACTGTGGAAATTGATAACAAGCCTTAATCTTAATTGAAGACTTATTGGTGGCTGCTGTGTGAGGATGAGCTGATCTTCTTAAAGGGAAGGACTCTAGCTAGCTGCCTAGACCCCAGTGGATGAACTTGTACTGAGGAATGACTGGGAACACTAACTTGACTCGAAAGGCCTTAACACAATGATAGAATGTATGAAGCCCAGTGGGGAGGGGGGGCGCTATGGGAGAGTTCAATGGGGAAGGGGGTATGAAGATGTGTTCTGTATGAAATGAACAAAAAATTAATAAAAAATTTACAAAAAATATCTGTGGTATTTCTCTGATCTCTCATACAGCCTCACGACCTCTGCTTTAGTTTTTACTCTCAATATTTAGGTAGTATTCCTTAAAATTCAGAGTCCAAAGTCAAGATCATTTTATTCGATGACCTGAATGTGGTAAATGATTTTTTTAGAAAAGAAAAGAAAAGAAAAAAAAAGACGTTGAAAAGAATTTTTTGACTTCTCCTTTTCTCTGAGCCAATGTGATCATGACCCCCAAACTCTGCCTCTGTGTCTCCCACCTGGCACTTGTGCTCCTCTGGTCAGGCCCTCCTTTCTCAGTAGAGTAATTTCCGTAGACTTCCGGCGGGTTCCCTACCTTTAGTGGCGCCATTGTTTTAGGATGTGTTTCTTTCTCATAGTGGAGGTTTCCCGCCTTCTCTGTTGCTTTCATCACTTCCAATCCCGACAGGTGTCCGGGACTCCAACCACGTGGAGCTCCTTACAGGTCCTGGGTTCCACCACGCTTTCTCACGCCTGAGCTCTTTCCCATGGGCCCCTGCCTTCAGCGTCCATTCCCTAGTTCCTGTTTCTTCTCTCATTGTACTTCTACTTGCCGGTGCAGACTCCTGTTGGTAGTAAGGGTAGTCTTTCCTCTTTCTTTTCAATTTGGGGAGGTAATCTGTGAGCTCCTGAGGGAGAGATCGACAATAAGTGGTCCTGTTACTGAATGTGACACTTTGAATGCACTCAGTGCTTTTCTGTGGGCGAATAAGGGTAAAGTCTGCCTTTTCAACCACCCGCCCTTCACTCTTAAAATGTACTGTTTTTCTTCAATGGATAAGAGCTCCGTGTGGGAGAAAATGGATGGTGGTGATAATTACATTATGAAATGAATAAGAGGGAATGATTTTAGAGAACAGTTACAGGTGCATCTGTGCCAGGAAAAAAGTACCTCCTAAGAATTTGGGCATGTCAGCTCCCTGGTCTGTGGTTTCCAAGGGAATGGGAACTAAATCCAGGATTACTAAAGTTCTTTCTGATCTACGTACCAACCACAGTCAGAATCTGTAGTCCTCTGCAGTATCATCATTAATATATGTATTTCAGAGATATAGAGGCTTCTGAAAGATCTGATTATTGTCTGATCATCATAATAAGTATAAATCTCATTTTAAGTATATGGAAGTATGATGAGTTTTAAGATTTTCTTTTAAAAGCATATTATTATTCTTTCCAGGTATTAAGTAAATGGCATGTTAACATAAATCAATACAACTTTATTTGAAGAGATCGTAAAACGTCAAAATATGGAAATCCAAATGAATGCAAGGTAATTCAATGAAGGTACTTTGGAAAGCTATTTCCATGAATGCCTTTGTTTGAAATTTCTTTGGAACTTCTTGTTCAGAATCATCCCAGAGCATGTGGCACTTTTTTTTTTTTTTTTTTTTTTAGCATTGGCAAATTGATGTCTCTGTAGAAAGATCTGTACACAAAGTGGATAGCTGAAGTGTATGATTATTTTGTTTCTCTCTTTAACACATGGCTTAGCTTAAAATAGTAATTTATGTTCATTTGGAGGTCAGAGAGTAAAGAAGAATGCTAACATGGTCTATCTTTTAAGTTAACATTAGCCAGTTCTTGGGAGAATAAAACAAAAAATATAGGGTTTGAGAGCTTGGAGTTGAATGAAGGTTCAGAATTCTCATCTGATGCCTTTCCTGTGACTCCCTGGTCAGTACCTTGGGGTGGATTTGCCTCATCTAGATATCTGGATCATGTACTCATTTGAGGAAGCAGTAGTGGCTTATGAGATTATCTTTCCTTTATTTTAGATATCTGTTCACCCCTTTTCTTTAAAAAAAAATAACTTTATGTGTATGAGTGTATTGCCTGCATGTATGTAAGTGCACCCATGTTGTGCAGTGCTGCAGAGGTCAGAAAACGGCGTTGGATCCCCTGAAACTGGAGTTACAGATGGTTGTTAGCTGTCATGTGGGTGCTGGGAACTGAACCTGGGTCCTCTGCAAGAGCAGCCAGTGTTTTTAACTGCTGAGCCATCTCTCTAGCACCTCACCCCTTTTCTTACCAGAGAATAAGTAGCATAAAAATGAACTAAAATCTCCCTTAATTTAAACAGAGTATTATTTTGGTATATGTCTTTCTAGTTTTAAGAAAATAATAAAAACAGTTTCTTGATTTGAAAACAAATTCAAATAAATGAACCACATTCTATATCAAGTTGGTAACAAGGAAATGATTTCATTCAAAGTATCAGAAAACCTAGTATTTTTATTGTGAATATATTTTGTGAAATTTTTTCTGGTAAAGAAAGCCATACAAAAATTAAGCTTCTCAGTAGTGAAGAAAAGAAAATATCTCATATCATGTACATATTTGACATAAGTTGAAATTCTACTTTATAGGCCTTGTGCTTTAATTCTCTTTATACTGTGTTGAATACATTGTCATTTCATTACATATGGAAACAGAGTCTTAACGAGCTCCTGGGACCATGCTCTTATGAACTTACAGCAATGGTGACATGTATGCACAAGACCCAGGCAAAATCAGGCAGTCAAAACCCAGCATAGAACTGTGGAAATGGGCAGCAGACCCAGTCTTAGCTGAAGAACTATTGGACAGCTGATTACTGCCGAGTAAGGAAGAGCTGTTCTTTAAAGGAGGGACTCTAGATAGGCTGACTAGACCCCAGTGGATGGATTTGCACTGAGGAATGTCTGGGGACACTAACTTGACTCGACAGGCCTTGGCATAAATGACAGAATGTATGAACGCCATGGAAGGCGCTTTGGGAGGGTGTCGATGGAGAAGGGGTATAAAAGTGATTAAGACGCTGGGTATGAAATGCACAAAAATTCAATAAAAATAGAAACAAACTATGGTTTACAATGGTTGTATTCTATTTCATCATGTATAGCCACACTGTGTGGATGGTTTCCTACAGTCTTCCTAGAGACAGTGCAACTGTACGCTCAATGATACTATTATCATTAAAACGTATTGTCCAAGGCTGCGTGTAGCTCAGTTGCTGAAGACTTGCCTAACATGTGCAAGGCTCTGAGTTTAATCCCCAGAAACAGCAATAAATGCATAAATAAACTTTAAAAATGTATTGTCTAGGTATGCTAATTTAAAGAATAAAAATAATTAAACGAACCAATGTTTTTAGTATTCATATTTAAAAAATCCATATTGTTGATGTACAAATGTGAATGGGGGGAATGTCATGGGCTCCCACCTCAAGATGAAGAGCTACAGGCAATCGATGGATGCTGAGGGAGGGAGAATCAGTTTTCTCTGAGGACTAGCTCCCTGAAAGGTTATCTAATCCCAAGTGGGCATCCCTAAACACAGGTGCACATGAGTACCACCAAATGGACTCAGCGCATTATGTGTGTGTGTGTGTTTTGATGTGTGCTTCTGAGTCATTTGATTTTAGGCTTGTCTTATAAAGGACATAGAACTGGACATTGAGACATTTCTTTGACAGAAATATCACCCGTTCACATTCACCAGGATGCTCTGCCAGCTTCGAGCTTTTTGAATTCCTTTATCTGCTTCCTGCTATTCTCTGTGTTGCTTTGTTACCTAGATTATATCATTGTTTCCTTTCTGGTGATTTGAAAGATATACATCTAGTGTTCATTCCAGTAGTGTTGATTTTCTCGTTTTAAAAAATAAAATTGAAGTTGAATGTGGTGGTACATGCCTTAATTCCAACATTTGGGAGTAGTGGTAGGAGAATCAGGATTTCAAGGACAGCCTTGGCTACATAGTATGTTTGAGGCCAGCCTAGGCTATCCTGAAACCCTGTCTTAAACGAACACTGAATGAAAACTCATATACAATGGAATTGGCTGACCCATGTCTGCTGTAAATATTAATCTCAAGAACAAGGTCCAAAGAACGAGGTCAAAAGGACTAGACTACTGTTAGAAGAAGCATTGTTTGTTTCAAGTAACCTACACGGTGAGATGCACTTGATTTAGAAGCGCTGTCACTTTTTGTAAAACCAGAAACAAAACAAAACAGAAAAAAGTGCTACATATCAGGGCTTCTTAAACTTTTTCTACTTATAACTCTTTTTTTACACAAGAAATTTTTCTGTGACCTTGGGCATGTAGAAACATAGGTATACAAATTAAACTTTTGCTGGTAATTAATAACAAAGAAATGCAGTTTAAAACAATTCTTTGGTAGACCACCTAATTTTACAAAATGAGATGGATGTACTTGTTTATATCCACATAAAGGATATAATCTTAGCTAAATATTTGCTCCTACAGGACATAGAATGTCTTCAACATTTTTAGTTGATTGATACTGTTATAATAGTCAATGCTAAAAGCAGTGATTTGCATAACGACACAGCAAAAAATGGAAATAGTATGTGTAGGACCATTTCAGGAATTGTTGGAAATTCTTTTCCAATCCCACGCCAAAATTCATTTAGTATCTTTTTCATGAAATACAAGTCAGCTACTTAAACGTCAGTTTCTAAAATCAAACATCATAATACATATAATCCAAAAATATATTAATTTGATACCTATGTGCTGAGAAATAGTAGGAAAGCATTGAAAGTCTTTGTTTTCCATAATTGAAACATTATGTTTATATATGAGGAAAAACCTGTATGTACATTAAACACACCACAGTTCATAGCATACAATGGTCTTAAATCTGAGCCGAGGTGTTCCAGGTGGTGTTTGTTGGTGATGTGTGGCTTAAATGCAAGCACAGTGCAAAGCACTCCTGTTGTGTGTTCAGAATCAAGTTTGCAGTAAGGTCAGGTGCTGCCAGAGACAGTTGGGATTCATTTCAGGTTTTTTTTTTTTAAATTAAATTTTGGTCATTGTATGTTCAGAAACCTTTTATGGTTGCCAAATTTTTATGACTGTTGCATACAGGTACAAGACTCCATGTGGAGTTGAAACCCACAGTTTAAGAAGCTTAAAAACATTTCTCCACCAATTTGACCCTTTGTTCACCACAAGACTCTAATATAAAAATAGCAATCATGAAGTCATTGGCCTGGCCTCTGTCTCTATTTTTCACCCAGCCCTCTTCATCATTACTCATTATGTGTTTCCTAAAGAGAGTGGCCAGTGGCCAGTCAGGGGCCCGCAATAACAGCTGGTGTGGTAGACATTCCTTGGACTTGTTAGACCTTGGATAAATCTCTTTACTTCTTGGCTTCAGTTTCACATCTGAAAGTTTGGAATACCTAGTCTATGATGTCTCTTCTAGTTTCGATCTTCTATGAGTAAATGATTTATTAAGTACCTATTTCAATAGCTTTAGGGAGGGGCCCCATATAGAATGAGAAACACAAAGCTAGTATAATGCGTGCTTGAAAAGAAAAGGAAATAAAAGACTGTAAACTAAACAAAGGTTCTGTACCTTGATCCATATGGTAGTTACACTCTTAAACACATATGTAAATTTCATTGAGTTGCATCTCAGAGTTGTACTTTATATACTTGTATATTTATACTGCGATCAACAAAAAGACTACAAAAGAAAGCCAAAAAAAGAAACAAAAGAAGTCGGCAAGTTGTGTCAAGGCAGTGTCAGGAGGTTGGAAGGCATAATGCAAAATCCATAGGAAGTGGCTTGTGAGGTTGAATCCTGACCACATCCCCTATTAGCCTTGGAATCTCATGCCCGTCACTTAGCTTGGCGAGTCTCAGTTTCCTTAGTAAAAGAAGAATTTGTAATGTCTATTTTGTAAAGCAGTCAGAAGTACTGAGTGAATTACAGGGCACAGAAATAACCTGGTAGTAGGTGATCAATACATATTTTTTAAAAGAGACAGAAAGACCATTACAGAGACATGAGTCAGATTCAAAGAACCAGAAGACTCCACATCATTCTTTTGCAATCACTGCATGGTAAATAAAGCCTGGAAATCCCAGCATTAACGAGACTATGAAGAAAAAGTTAGGCTCATATTTTACTGGTGGTGGCATTGCAAATTGCTAGTACCATTTCTTTTCTGGAGAGCCACCTGGCAATATGTAATAAAAGTCACAGGGTTGATTATGGTTTTTAAACTGTTAATCCCATATTTCAGATTGTAGCCCAAGGAAATAGCTCAACAAGAAGACACAAGATTTATTTATTTAAAGATGCTTGACTGGGTAATAATACAACGTGGAAAGGACAAGCTGGGAGATGGCTAATTAAACAGTCTTTTAGCAACACAGTGCTATATTGCTCCACTAAAAATGACAGATATATGGGCTAAGCAGGTAGGTAGAGAAGTCAAGCAAAAAATTAGAAAATAGTATGCCCATAGTGAAC